GCCTGTGCAACGGCCTCACAGACTGAAATTTAGCTCCCAAATATATCGAGGTCTCACTTACAACCATATGAAACTTTGGGCGAGAAAGTTACTTGGGATCAGAAAATTAGGAGGCTGAAATTTTAAGAGGATATTCGCTCTCCAACTTATCAAATTCGGCTTTTATATGCGCCTACATCTCTTGTGCCGGTACGTGAAATTTTTAGTGGGAAATTTCGTAGATTAAAGGCCGGGTAATATTTCAACTATTTTTGCACAGACCAAAGTGTGAAGCAGTGAAAATCATTAGCAGGCAAACGTCCGTTGGGCTGAATTGCACAAAACGCATGATCGCATCGGCTACCCTGTGCGCGCCACTATTTATTGCATGCCAGGATTGCAGTTGTATTTCTTGGTCCTCTTTCTCTGCCTCTCTCTATCACTCGAAACCGAAGACAAGAGTGTGGAATTCCAACTTTGTATTGATTGCTGATCGCTTTGAAGGGTTGGGCACGGCGTGTGGAAGCACGTGGCAAGTTTATGTTTGTCCACGTGGGCGATGGGAGCACGCTGAAGACGGTGCAGGCTGTCGTGCAACGCGATGTTTGCCCGAAAGTACCGGTGGGTAGTGCAGTGGAAATATGTGGCGATTGGGTTCAGAGTGCCGGAAAGCAGCAAACCATGGAGTTATACGCCGCGCAGTGTCAAATTGTCGGATTGCAACGAAGACCGGTTAGTGTCCGTTTCCCCGAACCTCTTCCCTTTCTTTCCTTCGATCTTTTTCTATCCCTTTATCCTTTTTCTTCCTCTTTCATTAAAAGCTGAAACCGTCATACAGACGAAGTCCTGTCGCAGTGTTGAGTTAAGACGTATATTGCTTAATGGACCGAAACGTTTTGTCTCATTCCTATCTCCTTTCGTTGTTCTTTCCTGCTCTCTATCCAATACACCTTCGACACTTTAGCACCCAAGGTCAGCCTGGATGCTGCAGTCGGCTAATTATGATTAGTATCAGTTCGTTTTTTGTACGATCTTGATGCATATTGGCAAAAAGGTCCTTACTATAATCACGGAATTGACATCCACCACAAAAAAAATTTCTCCAAGGTAATGGCATTTTTTTTAACTTTTCAAACATATTCGAAATTTTTTGAGAAAGAAAACTTCTTGAGTTGAACAGGCCCCTTCCCCGCTTTTTCCCCTGTTCCTCTTCTGTACCCTTTCTGCCTGCCTTCTGCCCGTTACAGTTAAATTGTCTGTTTGTTTCTTTTACAACATATTCTGCAGAGTTTAGTTCAACGAGTTGCCATCGGCGGATTGTTCGGCTGATGTTTTACGCAAAAAGTACCACTTACGCATGAAGAATGTGGCCTTTACATGCATGCTGCAGCTTCGTTCACGACTCGATCAGCTCACCCGTGCCTTCTTCCAGGTCTTTTGCACTAATTTTTATGCAAACTGTTACTCCAGAATCCGATTGGGGTCGTTTAATTTGGGTCAGCTGCCAGCGCCCCGAGTTTTTACCTCTGTTTGGTTCTTTATCATTTTTGGCGTCCTGTTGGGTTGTTTGCTACTTAATGGGTAATTTAGCATTGAATTAGGCAAAAAAAAAATGTAGCGGA